GTGTCTTTTAATTCAAATTGTGACTATTTACTGGGAGATTGAGACATGAAGAGCCACAATGAGAAAGAACAGCTAAAGGCAAATAATTTTTTCACCTAAACAAGCTGATATTGCCCTTTTAAAATAAGCTTTACAATCAGAAACGTATTTTTCCCAGTTTCCCATTAAAGTTGCTTAATAATTTGATTTATTTTTATTTGTTGCTGTAAATAATAAACGGAGATGTTGAGATAAAAGAAATGAGAGATTCAAGTCAGGTGGAATGTGCTATGTCCTATTTGCCTTGTATGCTTCCTGTTTCTTATTGCTCTGGGAATGCAACCTTAGGATGGTTGTTTGTATTTTACAAGCCCCTCATTAATTCCAGTTGTTGAGTCTATCCAAAAAGGGTTATTTCAGCATGCCAGCATTTAATTACTGCACAAAATTCATAGGTTCACTTAGATTTAATCCCAGAATACATAAAGTTCCTCCTTTTGAAGTTTTACATAGATTTTATACTTCCAAATGTTTTTGAAGAATGAGAAGAGTGTGACCTCACCACATGTACATTTTATAAATAAATGAATATGGGATTTGGAAACAAGGTTATGTAAATATTAACAGACAACTGTGGGCTAGAATATTCTGTTCCTCCCCTTCTCTGGGCCTGGAACTCTCCACAAAAATTCCTTTGCAGAGATTCCCACAGCATCCTGTTGAACGATGAGCGTAAACACCATTGGATCTCCTCCACTGCTGGTAGATCCCTTGGATCCACAGAAGGCCACGCCTCGTATACATGTGCACACTGCCTTCCAGTGGGCCCCCAGAAGTATGGCTCCAGTTCAGACATGCTGTCAGGGTCTACCTGTTGAACTGCAGTCCCCAAGTTCCTTGACTTTGTATAACTTTTTCCAGGTAATTTCTGCAGTACCAGAGGTGGGATGAGAGGCATCCCTTCTGGCCTCAGACCTCCTCCTCTCCATCTCCTCCTGGATGAGGGGCCTCTGCAGGGGCCAGAGACTGGAGCACCATGCTGCAGAAGCTCCTGAGCCTCCCATTCCTGGGGAGAAGTTCAGATCCAGATCCATGTGTTGAAGGTCCTCTCCACATGCAGGTCAGGAGGATATCTCCCAGCCCCATAACATGTCATACTTATTCTCCATAGCACTTTTCTTCCAAGTCTCTCATAGCATTTTAAAAACAAGGTAAGTAGATGTGATTTTACCCATTGCACAGATGGGAAGTTTGAGGAAATGAAAGGTTAAGTCACTTGCATAAAATCACACCAGTGAAGCAAGTCAGCAGCAGAGCTAGGAACAGAAGAACCCCTTATAAAAAGTTTGGGACAGTAACTACAGAATCAATACAGTATTTTTAATTTTGATATGAGTAGAAGTCCTGACTCAGTCTAATAACTAGACATGCTCTCTTCCCAGCTGTAATGCACATTAATGTGTTTCACACCTTCTATTTTCTGCAGCTCTGCTGGGCATATGATAGTATTATCTGACTAGCGCTATACAGTATTTCTGAAAAGAATGAATCCCTTTCAGCATTAAAATTTACTAGACCAACTCGTGCAAACATGGACATGCTATCCTGAAATCCATTAAAAAACCTTTGCTAAAGTTAAGAATTGTATGCCTATATTAAAAGGGAAAACCCAGTAGTTTAAACACTGCATATTATGCCTTTCTAATACAATGATCTATAGAACAGCTGCAACCCAAACATTAAGACAAAACTCAACTATCAAATCTTAAAGACAGTCTGACTTAAGTCAGTGAAACATAAATAAACTGGCTTATGGCAATATGGAAAGAAAATCTTTGTGATGTGGAAACACATGTCACTGTACATTTTTCAGAATGTGGCAGCAGCCAGTGCCTTGTATGCATGGCTTCGCTTGCTAAATTTAAAATTACAGCTTTTGAATTTCAGTGTTAACCTGAATACATTGTATTAACTTCTTTATTCCAGCTACATCTTCAAAGTAAAGTAGAAATAGCCTTATTTTTACTGAAATTTCCATTTGTATGAAAACCTTCATTAACAAAACATTCTTCCTAACCTAGGCCTTTTAAACAACAAAGGTTCTGTTTCATTATATTAAAAAGTTATGATTATAGAAAATGTCACACAGCCAACATGCAATTGTGGCCAACATAACAGACAGATGCACAAAAAAATGTAAAAAAGTGTGGCTAGAATACTCAGCGTGTCAAGTACAATAAATGTGGTACCAGCTGCACAGTACTTAAATATAATTAAACTGCACTTGTTATATAAATGCAAGTTAAATGGCAGGCCAGAGAGAAGTTAACTGTCTGCTTTCTGATTCAGGAACACAGACTTTGCAGGGATAATCTCCGAATTTTTTGAGTCAACTGTTCAAAAAGGGCAACTATAACAGCACACTCCAAATAATTCTGATATTCTCACTGGAGGAGCACCCTCTGTCTTCAATGTGACTACTTATGTGAACAAAATTTGACCAGCAGTTTTTGAATTATGCTAGAAACCAAGAGAGTTTGAAAATGAGAGCCAACATCTATTTTGATAGAATGGGGGGTTGGGCAAAATAAATGAAAATTTTCGCATCCATTTAGCTCTGAAAGTTAAATCCCAACACTCAACAAACTTTAATACATGCCAAATTTATCTTATTTTAACTATTTCAGCCTCAACTGAAGTAGAGGAGAAACAACAAAAGAATAACTAAGATGGTTCAGGATAGCAGTTTTGGTTTTTGTTCTTCCAACTATCTGGTCTGAAAATCAACTTTGTTCATTGATGGATGCAAACATGATCACCTCTGCTTCGTGCCATGTAGAAGTACAGACAAATCACTAATTTTTTTTCTAGTTTATTTACCAGCATGTAAGTAAGTTTCCAGTCATTCTGGGACCTTAAGACACATTGTGGGTGGTCCACACTATGAAGATTCAGATATGATACATCTCACAACTTATTTATTTTTTGTAATGTTGAGCCCCAGTTGTAATAATGTAGGTTACAACTGCTACATATATTCGTAACATATAAAGTTTTTAAAATAGCAATTTAGTAGGAATGAAATGTGGTTCTACAGGAATGTCATATGGTCTATGAAATTAAAAACCTATGGAATTTAAGAAAGAGAAAGAATTTCTCTGAACTATCCTGTAGAATTCTACAGCACAGAGAAGTATTGAATTCTATGGACTCATTTTAAAAAACATGGACTAGTTATCAAGTGATGTTAATTATATGGGCTAGATTGTGCACTCTGCCCTGCATAAAGGGTAGCATATAGCTGTGTCACTCAAGGAGCGGTGCAGGGAAAGCACTGTGCCCATACCAGCAGCCGATTATTACTACCCACCATACTGACTCAGCCACTCTATCTAGCGCGCTGATGAGGAAAAGGCATAGTCAAGGCTCTACTACCCAATCCTCATCCCTCCCTGTCCACTTCTCACCCACGTCTTCAGAGAGGATGACAGTGGTACTGATTGGGAAATAGCAGGAACACCATTTATTCCCCTTTACGCAGTGCTTAATCTGCAATGAAAGAGGAGTTGGAGCTCAAGCTATTTTTTTTAACATTTGTAACTGATGCAGCAAGCCCAGATTTCTGTGCCCAATCTGTAAAAAAACCCTTTAACTGTTTATGTTAAATTAATACTTCAATTTTATAAATCATTATATTGGTTCAATATCTTTAATATATTAGAAATAACTTTAGAACATAAGAACGGCCATACTGGGACAGTCCATATGGCCCAGTATCCTGTCTTCTGACAGTGGCCAATGCCAGGTGCTTCAGAGGGAGTGAACAGAACAAGTAATCATCAAGTGATCCATCCCCTGTTGTCCATTCCCAGCTTCTGGCAAACAGAGGCTAGGGACACCATCCCTGCCCATCCTAGCTAATAACCATTGATGGACCTATCCTTCATACACTTATCTGGTTCTTTTTTGAACCCTGTTATCCCTGAACCTTGATTCATGAAATCTATACAGATACAACAAATTCCAAACACCATTTTTAAAATACACCCCACATTCAAAAGAAAACAGATCTTTAGGGGCCAAAACTCTTCCCAGCTATTCTGTTGGATCTAACTGAATTTACATGTGTAGAAACAACTAACATCACTCTCTTTCTTTTTAAGGAAAAACCTATGCACATGAGTACTTCATTCATGTGAGTAACTCCTGTGGCACCATCAGGATATAGTTAAGTTGTATTTTTATTTTCTACCTGAGGACTCTAGATAATGAACTTGGGTACTGTTGTTACTATACATCAGCTTGTACAACCCTTACTCATATTAGTGATTAATTACTCACATAAGCAGTTCCACTGATTTCAATAATCTATTCATGCAAGTAACCGCTCACAGCATAAAGGGTTCTCAATCTGGTCCTATAGGATTTAATTTAGATTTTCCTGTGTCATACAGTATGTCTTGTACCCTTCACTATTGATCACAATGGTAGTGCTGGGGGAGATACAGATATCAATATGCAAAATATTAAACCAAAATGTGATTATCCATTACCTTTCTTAAACCTCAAATAACAGGCTTTACTATTGTTTTATGTTTTACATGACTAGTATTATATGATCAGTAACATATTTCTGGAAAGATTATTTACAGTCTTATTATCTCAATCTATTCCATATGTTCTCTGCCAGCAATAAAAAAGGCACACAATAGTAACCTTTTCTTCCCCAGAAATACCTACACAGTTTCATAGAACAAGTCAAACAACAGTACATGGTCCATCTGAAGGGGGGTGGGGGGGAGAGAGGAACATTCCTGTCAATTTCTCTCCACTTTTCTAACCATCATGAAAAATATGTAAGTATATTTTTAGAAATAAAGCAAAAGCAACTCTGAGTAATCAACATATATAGTCTTCAGTTTCCAATGTTACTAAAAAGGGGGGAGGGGGAAGAGAGGAAGCAAACATTATGAGAAAAAGTCTGAATAATATTTATGCAAGAAAAGGAGCTAGATACTTACTGTGTCCTGAGATTTATCTTTGACATCATAGACGGTTAGTTTTATTTTAGTCTCTTCATAGATAGGATATTCCGGTGGGAATGTCACACCAGTCAAAAACAGTGGGTCTCTTGTTCCCTGTATAGCACAAGTAAACAGCTCAGATTCAGTAAGGTAGCAGCTGTGTACTGTGCAGTATGTAATTATGGACGAGTGTGCAGAAACTATGGAGTTCTAAAGGAAATATATTTGCTACAGTAAAGAGAAACCTGAACTGCCAAATGCTACCAAAGTCAGGAACATAAAACTTAATAGCATAAAAACTTAATCATACTGAAAAGAGGTGCTTCTGAGATATGCAGATGCTGACAAATGCCCTCATGTGGCCCTGTCACCATACATCAGTACTCTTAATAGTGCTCAGTGATAAACAATTCATTTTCAAGAAAGACGTTTTATAAAAGCGTTTCCTTAAGGCTAACAGTTACTACTGTGGACATAGATATAGTTTGTGCAAACAACTGAAGATGTTGGTTGATTAAATCACCCAAAAGAAAGGGCTCACAATAACATCAACACGATTTTTAAAAAATTGATCAGCTTAAGTATCATGCTGACATTTAACTCAATTTCTTAACCAATGATTATCTTCTAATGTTAAAAATATAAGCATTGATTTTTGCAGATTCAACTCCAAACTTACCTCAGACTGACTTATAAAATAACTCTATACCTATATAAGTAGACCTTCTGTTGCTAAATATCCAGTTCAAAATGTATAGTAAAAAATATGCAATCCCCTAAACATTATTTTTAGGCTACAGACTTTGGATATTACATTATCTTCTTTTAAAAAATAATACAACAGTGGTATGGAATCCAGAAAACTAGTAGTTTTCTGATTAGCTCTAGCAATTTCAAATAGCGCTGCACTAGCAACTTTAGTAAGTTCTAAGATATGAAAACTTTGAAACATACCATATGACGCCATTGTTGTCATTTCTTTGGCATAAACATATATAGAAAGTTTTTATTAAAAACAAACTTTAAATGTATTTTGAAAATTAAAGATATCTTTAAATTTCCTAATAATTGAGAGGAAGTTTTTAGCATAACTCACATAACAATTGTCTGGTGTACCTTCCATTTTAATGAAATCCACCAACTACTAAAAAGGAAGTGTCCTAACCACAGACACTCAGAGCGTGAACATGACAAATTCAGAGCTGTTCAGAATCTGGGTCATCTTCATAATAGAAAATGAGTCTACTTCTGTCTGAATCATCTATTCCACCTACAACAGTACCATCAAGCTAGACAGTCTGCACTGAACCATCCTGATCTGTTGCAGGCTATTTGAGTGATGCAGTTTCAGGATGGCTGATGGTTCAAATCATGACAACTGAATTAGCAGTCAGCTGGAATCAGAAGATCACACAAAGTGTTTATGAAACATTCCTATGGCTTAGATTTATCAAACAGCTCAGTTTATCTGTTAAAATAATTCTGGATTTGAATTTGGGGGGACACTTTCTTGCTTTTAATAATCTTCTCCAATATTTTGTACATGAAAAGTTATGTTTATTCTACATAGTTTCACTTACGTAATTATCATAGTAAATATAAACTTTACTATTTATGAAACTGAAATGGGGGGGGGGGGAGAGAATACAAGCACTAGCAAAGCAACCGTGCAACTTTTGCTACAAAATGTAAAGCAGATTATTATTAAATCTATACATACCTCTCCTTTTCCGATCAAAAAACAAATACACACTTTTAAACCTGCAAAAATGTCAAGTTTCCAATTGAGAGGAAAATAAAACAAAAATGAAAAGAAAACACTACATAATGTGTACTACATTCGTCTGTGATTAAAATGTTTGCACTCATATTTTAGCTTATTTTTATATAGTTTTGTTTCTTAATGAGAGCACATATTCTCCAGCTCACTCTAAAGCTATGTCTGAAGAACCAGACTATTCTTTATGTCTCCTGTTGGAAAAATAGACCTTTCATGAACAGGCAAGTTTATTTCCCACTGTTTATCCTGGTTACATGCCAAGAACTGCAGAACATTCTCAGGTATGCTTTGCTAATATCTACAGTGAAGCTTGCCTACTAAAGACTGTGCACTAACTTGTTTCAGCTGTTCATTCACTTTCTAAGGAAATAATATGAAATTTAGCAAAGAATGGTAATGTAATAAAAGGAAGCTCACCTCCACAATTTCAGTGCTTGAATATCTCGTCAAAGTCTGTTCTGCTGGATGTACTACTGAGATCTGTACAAATGTATTCAGCTTCCGATCACGGGCAGTAGCCACTAGATCCTTGCATGCTGGAAATGGCACAAGAGAAAAAAAAAAACCTCTAAAAACAAATCTGAGAGAAAACTCTGACATGGGACAAAGCAGACTAAACTATAGCTCTGGATTAAACCTCTGAAAGACTTGAGCTGATTTAGCAGAGGAAGTCCCTGGGAAGTAGTTTACAGAAATAGGAAGTCACATGCTGCAGAGCTGAATTGAGATTTCATTTCCACTAACCACATTTGCAGCTTCTGCAGGACTTCCCTGCCAGAGGCTCATCAGCTCTTTTATACGAACACATGCGCACGCACAGGCACGCTCTGTGACACTGGATAACTTCAAAGTTAAAACATCAGCTTTCAGCTAATTTGCCATGAAATCTCTCTCAGGCAGCCTTATTTAGTCATCTTTTGTCTAACAAACTTTATGGTATTTTCACTGTTTCAGGAAAATTTTAAACCAATTAAAATTTGTCAGTGATTACACTGGTTTAGATGTTTTAACACCACATTATCAATTTCGTGATTAGTATTAATCACAGGGTAAAAATCTACATTTTTAAAAGCAACAATAAAAATCAACTTTGTCAGTGACTGACAAATATAAATGGGAAGAATAATTGCACTCTGGCTATAACACATCATTATTAAAACTCATTTTACTGGATAAATATGGAGGAATTCAGTTTTTAATTAATAATGAGTTTTCAGTCTGAGCTGAAAACTATGCAATTAGTGCTTCACATAGCCATGCAAGTGAGTGAGTTTACTTTCCAGACCCAGTCTCTCATGTCTTCTAATAGAAAGAGCAGAAAGGGCTGCAAAAACAGTGCCTCTCACTTCCTTCAGTGCTGAGGAGGAGGATCACAGTTGAGCTGCTCAGCAGCAACCAGCATTGCCAATGGGGACATGAATTGGCTCCAGAACTGGATGGAACCCATCCAGCTCTCTTCAGTTAAGAAAGGTTCCTACAATGTGGGTTGTGATGGGATTTATAGATTTTTCAGCCCCCAAGTGGTACCCTAGAAACCCTGCCAAGCCAGGCAGAAATTAATTCCAACCAAAGGTTCAGGGTGTTCTCAGGGAGTCACTGCCAGCTTGGAACTCATTTAAATGCAGCTGACCTTCAGGCTCAGCACCTTAAAGATGAGCTGGGTTACTCACAGAGCAGGCAAACAAGCTAGCTACCTGGCTCTGATGAGAAGGCAAGACGGGAAGTTCTGGAGAAACAAAAACATACCTAATTTGGTTTGTATTTTTCTGCGGTGTGTTTGGAGTTTATTGTGTTTGAAATGCCTTGTAGACAACATAAAAGGAAAGCAGCCAGAAACTTTCATCATTTTTGTATTATGGTTAAATCAGAACCTGGAAATAATAAAACATAAGCCTCAGAGAGTATTTTGAGGTTTCTGTTTAAATTTGGATTGCCAGTGAAATCTATTGCTAGACACTCTCACACTGGTCCTACCATATCTTAGTACTGCAAGTTAGTATACGGACAACTTCTCTACATGATGACGACCTCATGAAATGGCAGATATAACAGCAACAGAGCCAAAGAGCAACTCAGCAGCAATTTCTGGAGCCACTGCTTTAAAAGATCACCGACTCACTGACATGTCTATAACTACCAGCACCACCCTATCTGACTTGGAGGCCTACTTCACTATGTTTGAAGGAATGGTTATCGCATCCCAGTGGGCCAGATAGACATGGCCTACCTGAATTTCACCCTTCTTGAAGGAGGAAGTAAAGCAGTTTATAAGGCCCTGAACAACAAATCTGCCAAGGACTATGAGTAGCTGAAGGTGGCAATGCAAATTCCAGTCACAATCATTCCTCGCAAGGTCCTGATCTCAAGCCATCACCCAATTCCTAAAGGGCAAGTCCATCCTGTGACACTGATCTATGAATAGCTCAGAGAATCTACTGATCTAGGAAAATACCTGGACATCCTTCCAGGGAATGTGCAAGACTGGATCATCGGCATAAGCTGGCACTGTGTCAGAAGCATTCCAGGCAATGAACAACCTGCTTTGACTTGAACTTACAAGTCACTTCAACCCAGATACCAATCCTGAAAGGAGGGTCCAGCCCCCTGGAAATATGATGAGCCATCAGAGATGATGGGGGGGAAACCACTAGGCTATCAGAGGAGACAGATGAAAACAGACAGATACTCAGAAAGATTTCAGAATCCTACCAGGGAACCTTCTGCGGGCCAATTACAAAAGTAACTGTCAGATTACAGAGACCAAAGGGATCTATCTGACTAACTGTTTGTTTTAGTTGTGGGATTGTATGGGATAGTGGACAGAGGCTTGTGTGACCTGACCAGTTGGGCGGGGGGGGGGGCGAAAAAGATGACATCAAGTCTACGTTGGCCCAGTGAAGATTTGGTAGTCTCAGAAGTAACTCATGTCTGAGTTAGTAGACTCTGGCTGTGCCCAAACACCATCCTGGTATAGATCCTGTGCAGATCACCTGTGTCCATGTAGTCTTATCTCTACAAGCATCCTGATCAGAGAGAGCAGTGAAGGATGGGATTGAGATTGCTAGCAAGGTACCTTGGATCATTATTAGGAGGGTTTCAAACACTGATATGGTTGAACCAGGTTATAGCAAGGTTGGGAAATAGTCATTGAAGATTTGGGGTAACATTTTCAACAGTTCCTAAGTCTCATTGAAAGTCAGTGGATTTTGGGCTCTTAAGTGCCTACGTCACTTGTGGAAATGGGATGTAGACTCTTAAGTCACTTAGGCACTGTTGAAAATTTTACCCTTGACAAGACTCCCTCAAAATTTACGACGCCCATTCTTGATCCCAGAAAAGTCAGAGATGCAATGTAGGCAGGTTTATTCTAAGGTCATTTTGTGAAATCCCCCAAGAATGCTGAAACTAGCCATGGTATTATATCTTTACCAGACCTCACCTCAGACCTCTTGTCAGGATCTTATGATCTGATGTTGGAACAACATGAAAATGAGGTCTATCCACAACTAACTATAATGGGGCCATCACCTGGAAGTCCCAAATTTTGCAGTTTTCACACTTTGAAATGTAAAGGCATTTGCTGTGTTAGGTAAATTCAGACTGCAGACAAGCTAGTACACCACCAGCTCTCAGCACAAATAGATACCCAACCAGAGATCCTGCTACTAGCTCATCCTCTGTCTTGTTCAGACTACCTAGGAAGAAACAACATGTAGTAACGTGCACAAGCCAAATTTTATTGGCTTGGGGTTCACAAGTTCTGCGCCTCCTGTTCAGAGTGCCAACATTGGGCAGCAAAGTGAAATTTCAGGTTCCCCCTAGTGCCCTTTGAGCACATAGGGATAAACATTTTTGAACTCTTAGGGGACACCAATTCACCCCAATGGTGGTCAGTTACACCATTCGCTATCCTGAGGCCATACCACTGAGGTGAGCGCCTGCCCAGATCATTGCCAAAGAACTCAATAGAGGACTTCTCTTGAGATCTGCTATCCCATGAAGATCTCACTAACGGCACTAACCTATGCCTTGTCTAATACTAGAAGCTTGGGATCTCATTCAAATGTGTCACTTTGAACCTTAGTGTATCACCCAACCACCCACACAAATGGTCTGGTTGTGAAACTTTTTGTGGAGTCAATACAAGAGACTGTGAGAAGCTCACTTCATCCTGTTTATAATACGGAAAATTCCACAGATGTCCACTGCTTTCTTGTCCTTAGAATTGTTGTATTGGCTCTATCCCTGGGAAATCCAATATCTTGTTGGCTGCTCTCTCTAAGCTTCTTCACATTCTTTTGATATACAGAAATACAGTATGGTTCAGGAAACTAACACCAGTCTACTGCATAGAACACAAATGCATGCATAAATGTAGCCATTTAATATGACTGAAATATTCTATAGAAAAAAGTTTGTATAAAACAACCCTGACATGTCCTGTAGGAGTGTATTCTTAACCACATCTGTAACATACAACGTGGGAGGGGGTAGATGAGATGAACATAGTTTCCCCTTATCCTTGATTAGGGTGACCAGATGTCCCAATTTTATAGGGACAGTCCCAATTTTTTGGGTCTTTTTCTTATATAGGCTCCTATTACCCCCCACCCCTGTCCCAATTTTTCACACTTGCTGTCTGGTTACCCTATCCTTGATGCCCAATGCCAGCCACACATGCACACACACAGGCAGAGGTTTAGATTACTTTTCAACACTACCCTATACTTGACTTAATTCTGGAAATGACAGAAAACTTAGTGGACTGAGAAGCAGCAACCTGGAATTGCATGCCAAAGTATATGAATCTATTCACTGTGACCATTGACTCATCATTCAAAAGCCTGAGTTATTCATCCCCACAATGACCCTATTTCTGCTAAGTCAACCAGTGCACAATGAAAGCTTAATGAAGAAGGTGCATTAGGAATTTAAAAAAAAAAAAACCACCTAACATATATACAGAGAAAACGGTCTCATACATATTAAGCCAAGAAAAAATGCATATATACTATGTGTAAAAGATACCCAGGGATGTTCAAAGTGACTGATGTGAAGGGTGATAAGGGGTGATGAATGGCTGAAAAGAGGCATTGCTCTAGAATATGATTATATCTATACACTTTACAAAATATTGTGGTCCATATATGAAACTGTTTTACAGTACAAAACAGTATAAAATGTCTTCAGACACACATTTCACCGATTTTATTCTTCAACATTTAAACTTCATTTTCAAAGAAACAAAAATACAGAGGGAGTACTTAAAATGTTGTTGTTCTGTTTCCATGACTAACAATTTCTATTCCACTAACAACACTGTAAAATTATCCTTCCACAATATGCAGTATAAACTAAACAAACAGAAGAAATGCTTTTCTTTGTCAATCAATTCTCTGCTATTCCACTGGTGTGCTCCAAGTAGTAGCACTATTCCTATTCCACATAGTCTCTTTCAAGATGCATGTATACTTCTAGATTAGTATTGAGCTCTGTCATCATTCAATATTATACTGTTCACTACACTGCACTAACA